CAACAACTTTGTTTTATCAAAACTAGAAAATGAGTCAAAAGGACTCAAAAGCCGCCATGTTCTACATTAATTTCATGCCAACTTCACTAAATCGAACCCAAAATTCTTAAATTTGCATATACAAAACCGTGTTAAAAGTCACAACTTCAAAATGATGTTGATTAGTCATATTGGTCCTACTGTTGATGAAATGCGTACTCGCAAGTATACGAGGTCGTGCAAGTAATACAATTATAAGAACAGATATCGAACCCACACGAACTATCCTATCTTAAAGCAGAGCGAACTATGTATTTGTTGGCAAAAGTGATTTGATTTTATTAAACTAGACTAAAGAACTATTAAAATAAAAATAAACTAAATTTAGCAAGGTAAAAATGAAAACCAAAATAACTGACGAAACAACCACACAATAATTCAACGAATTAACAATTATTAGAAAATTAGGATTTAGTTGACTTATACGGATTAAATGGTTCTTTTAATGCAACTAATTTATCAAACTAATTATGTAGAAATGAATAACTCAACACCAACAAAAGTTATCAATTACCTCTCTATCTCATGATTCGATTTAAAAACTTTCACTTATATCTCTATATAGTTCGTGATTTTAAAAATCATTAAGTCTCACAGTTTTGTTAAAAATATCTTAACACACGTCTATGTTCAGTTTAAGCGAGATAATGAAACCACACATCTATATTCAAACGATGTCACAAATAAAGCTTCTCTCGAAGTCAATATTACATGTAAATATTAAAATTCTAACCAAGCAAATTAAATCTAACTAACGTTGATCAAGTGCTAGCCAAAATCAAATTTACCCATCAAAATTCATATTTTAAAGATAAACATACATTTGAATATGTTATTCAATTTCAACAAAATCGATTTAATTGAAAGCAACTACATTAAAATTATCATTCCATCCTAATCAACCAAACCCATAAAGTTACTACTCCAGAATATTAATTATTATAACAATTATAAAATAAAATCTAAGCATCATTTTTAAATCAAATAAAATGTATGTACTTGACGAAACTATCCCAGGAAACAATAAACGCAAACAATTGTAGCAGAAAATAAAATAAACAAAAGAAAAAGAATATAAAACAATTAAAACAAAAGTAAAAAATAGACCAATTTTTGCTTCTTCATTTCAAATAGGGAGGGATATAAAAGTGAAGGATATCAATGGAAAAATCAAATCGTGTTTTCGAGTTTTATTAATGGAAGGAAAGTGAGAGGAAGATAATGATTTTGACGTCATATTTTCCTTCTAATATTTCCTTATAAATTGGGTGGATTTAGGAAGAAAGTAAGGAAAGGAAAATCTTTAATTTATTTTCCCTCTTAACTCAGGAACACAAAAACTTAAAAAAATTCATTTTCTACAAACTTGAGAACATGAAATTAAAAAAAAAAAAAAAAAAAAAAAATTCTTCCATTCACTTTCTTTCTATCAATATTTTCCTTCTCTTTCCTTTATTGAACTTAAAAAAAAAAAAAAAAAAAAAAAAAAAAAAAAAAAAAAAAAAAAAAAAAAAAAAACTATGTAACAAGGCAGAAATGTTCCTTCGGTAGGTTTTTTTTTGTTTTTTGTTTTTTTCCTCTTGGTAGGCTGCCGATTTTTTTTTTCTTTTTGCCGTCCGTATTCTTTTTTCTCCTCCCGTCAAGGCTGCCGAGATCTCTTTTCTCTAAAGGCCATGTTTTGAAAATCGAACCGTACCAGCTGGTTCAACCGGAAACCGGTCCCGCATCCGGTTCTTAAAGGCCAAAAAACCGGTATTCCTGTGAACCGGTGAAAACCGGTCCGGTTGAACCGTTAAAACCGGTCAAAACCGGAAATTTTAAAAAATTATTTATTTTTTTGTATTTTCGTTCAGCAAAAAGATCACAACTTCCAAGTGGATTCTGCACTAGAAAACTATTGAATCAGCGAAAACTCAAAACACAAAACTTGTACATAATTGTGTCTAGTGTGCAATACATCTTGAATCGTCTAAATCGGAGTCCCGAGGAGCCGGATATGATGAAAACACTGAGACGTGATCAATCTGCCAAACTTCTTTTACTCGCTTTATTTGCTCGTGATGAATTTATCTTCTTTCGAATCTATCAATTCCATGTCGAAACCATTTGGACACTACAATATGATTCCAACTCCCACCAAGACTCGTAGAATAAGTGGGGGGGTAAGAAGCTTAGGCAATCTTACATTCAGAAGATAAAATCCGTCAATTCCTTATAAAATTTTGAGCTTCATAAGAGGAAGTCAAAATCCCACTAAAACCCATAGACTAAGCGGTGGGGAACTCATGAGACACATGTTTCACTTGCAATAAGATGTAAAATGAATACCGTCAATTCCAATGCAAAGCATGATGTGCTATATTTTGGATTTCATGCAAGAAAACCAACTCCCACGAACCTGTAGAATAGGTGGGGAACTTAACAAACTCGATTTGCACTTGCAATGACAAGTGGTGATGAAAGATGTCAATTTAGATGAGAAGCTCGTGGTGCTATATTATGGATTTCATGCGAAGAAAACCAACTCTCACCAACCTGTAGAATAGGAGGGGGGGGGCTAAGAAGCTTACGTGAACTACTAAAAACAAGTTAATGAGTCGCATTTCCTTTAAGAACTTTGGACTTCATA